ATCTCCAGAGAGGTTCGAAATTGTGGCCAGATTCAAGTAGTTGTTTGAACCTAAAGGAACGCATTTAAATGACTATTCTATCTATCAGTGAGTCAAAATCATTTAATCTAATATTCGGTGTAAGTATGATTATAAACACGAATTAACATGACAAGGTTGCAACCAGCTATGGAGTAATCACTAAGCCCTAATAATAATGAAAAATATACTCCATTGCTTTTGCGTGACTTCTTTCTTAAAAGCGTGCTTGCTAAAGATTTAGAGTAGGAATACTCATCAACTTGCGTTTAAGGATGCTCATTTGGATGAGTAATATGGTGCAAATACGGCACATTTTAAGCTAAAAGAACTTCTCATCAAGATTATATTAAAGAAGATTCGTTTAGCTACCCAAAGAAATAGAATCCAGAAAGAAAATGATCATATTTATTTATGTCGTCATAACTTTCACTTGTAAAAATTTTATGTAGAAACTCCCGTCAGTAGAAGCTAGGCTGTAAAATCCTGAGTCAGAAGGTAATCTGGAATCAATATCCAAATGGTTCCTCCTTGTATCATTCTGTGAAAAATAGCAGCTAAGGAGGGACAAATGCATTTTGTGATTCAAATTGCCCGTGAGCATTCGCAAAACTGGACTCTAGTTTTGGGCTCTACAGCCAAAATAAGATTATTTAGGATAAAATGACGAAAAGCCATGCCGCCAAAGCGTCTCAACAGGAAGGAATGTCTCATATATTAATTCTAATAGGTGAAATATGTCTGGAAAAGTAGGAGTGTGCATTGAATAAATTGATTTATTATAATTAAACAAGGCCTTGGTAATGGCTAATTATATTTGTCTTCTTTGAGGTTGAACTTCAGTAGTTACCACATAATTCATTGTGTTTAAGGAAAGTCGTAAAATGAGCCAGAATACCAAGAATATCAGAAACTGTGGAGTACACTTTGTCCTTGCTTTAAAATCCATCACTAAATTTTTCATATTACTTCTAATAGTAAAGCCATAGAGAAAGAAATACGCAAATTATGACTGCTTATTCAGAAAAAGCCAAAAGTGAGAGATATGGTTTTAAATACTACAAAAAATTACTATTCATTAAAGGAGCCTATCTTGTTTGTCAAAATCGCGACTAAATCAAAGATAAGACAAAGTAACACTCAGTAGCTATCTATTCTTCATATGGTAAAACACATTACCCCATAGTATTTTACAAGCGATTGCTGTAATCACAACCCAACGGTAAAACAAAATATCAGCATTTTAGTGATATAAATAATAACTTTACTAAATTTTAAATCTTTTACTTTAAAGGATAGACTGTGTTAATGTAGATAATTTTTAAATAGAATAAATAGACATTTCGAAAACCATTTGGATTAAAGTCATAAATACTTTTTTGTTTTATGCACCCAGGCGTTGCGCTTCGCTGTTGGAAACTGCAATTCACACAGAATGAGGAAAACTTTTTTAAATCAAGGCCAAGTAAAACTCAATAAAATACTAAGGCCTACGTATTTTATTGTGGAAAAATTCAATTATTCCTCATTCATCCACTAATGGCGAATTAAGCTATTATTCATGATTTACTGATAGTCTCTAAACCAGCTTATGCCAAGAGTGAATGGAATAAAGAAATAGCGATTTAATCGGTTCATAAAGCTGTGCTGTAGATACCTTGCAGTTTATGTCAGAGACTAATAGCAAAACCACGGAAATTAGTGCAGGCAGTATGATAGTCCATGACCCTAATCTAGGTCCTGCGAACTACAGATGCAGATCTTCAGATGTTATCTACAGAAAAATAAGAAAATCAAAATCGAGAAGTCGCTATGTTTTTGTACAGGGTCACACTGCCACATTTTAGACAGTTAGTGGGGTATCATCAAAAAACAGCATCTAAATATGACAGAGAAATATTAAGCGTAGGTCCATCGTTCACCTTGACTGCCGAATGCCTCCATGAATTCCCATTCTTGTGGGAGCATGGGTTAGCTAGCCGGGAGGCATGGCAAGAAAAGCCTGGAAGTCGCAAGTAGGAGGTTAAGCGGCCAGCCTGCTTCCGGAGAAAGGCCGGCAGCAATCGGAGTTGGGAGAGGGAACGCCGTCGAATGGAGGACGAATAAGTGCATTTGCTCACGACGCCGAGCAGTCGAACAAGATGGAAACTAAAGTTTCCGCACAGATTGGCACGTGTGTGTGTGTGGGCGTGTGAGGAGGTAAAGAGTGAAGTGTTATTTATGCGTGAAAATAAATGTAGAGATAATCTTAAACTTGTCTGAGCAAAGCTCATCGCTGTGGACCAGTTATTTTATTGGGTTTTTATAAATGACAAATAACTTTTTACTTCTTACAACCAACATTTTTGTAAATCTCAAATAGCTTGTATTCGACGATACAGCTAAAGCTCTGCCGAGCTAACATTATATTCTGCTGAGTGCCCAGAGGAAATGAGCCAGTTTGGGAAAACAGATAAGTTCAGCAAATGCTGTAATTATTGTGAAGGTAAAAAACACCCTCTCAAGAACTATATAGAATACAGTCTTTTTGAGTATGTCCCATGGCTCTCTGCGCCAACCTTTCCATCCAATAAGAGTAATGAGAATGAGGCAAAAATAAACAGGTTAAAAGTGGGATAACGGGCACGCAAACCTTTGAAATTGCCTCATATAGCAAGCCTCGTTTATGAAATCGCGTCTGTCGAAAATCGTACTTGAAGTTGTCAAGGTCTGCAAAGGTAATTGGCGAAAAAAAGGATAAGATGCATATATTATTTAGTCAAGTGTATCTGCAATATATAAGTTTATAAACTATAGAGCAATTATAATTTTAAGCGAAAAGAATCACCATTGAACCCCTAAACCATAAGCATAAACTGATTCCACACTGCTAAGGATGAGGTGAATGACTGAATATGGTCGAAAAGGACAAAAATAACAGGTATTTAGGTTGAATTTGAAATGAGAGAAGTATGCTGTAGTTTTTTACTAGAATTTCGAAGAAAATCCATTGAGAGAACATAGTTTAATCTGAATAATACATTATGCTCAAATGGAAACTATGCATGAAACTACAATTCTATAGCAAGTACTCAGGCGCGTTGAAAAAAAAGTATAAACAACAAAAGCCTTGCTTTAATAGCAACATCTAAGTTGACCGGATCTGTGTAATAGGCCATGGCGGGTGTGGTCAGTTTTAGAAGACGGCCCCGGAAAACCATGCCGAAACTACCCTGACCGAGAGGGTGGCGCCAGTCAAGTGTGTCGATAGCCGATCTGTCCAATTCCCAGGCATCCACTTCATAGAGATTCCAATATTCCGGGTTTGGAGAGAGCCAGGTACTCGCTTTTAGACGTCTTAAAGAATAGGTAATGAAAAGAAAATATAGGAATAAAAATAAACGATGTGGCTGTTGCATGGAGCACCATAAATAATTGAAAATAGGGAACTTAACCTTTGTCGCCGAACCACCATCAGCTATGTAAGAGCAATAAAAAAAGGCCAAAGGGGATGTCAAGTAACTACATAAATAAATGCCACTACGACTAATATCAAAATATCTACGAATATAATTAATATATTAATATTGTCATTAGCATTATTATACTAGGTAATAAAAACATTATCAATAAATAATAAATCACTGTTAAAAATTCTACATTATGTGCCCAAGTATGATGGTGGAATTTGAAATTATGCTTCCAGGCTGTGTGAATCATTGTGATAGGTTGTGCAATGCTTAAACTTAGCAGTTTACCTCGAGTGAGAAGTATGTAAAGAAGATACATTTTATAACTTGTAGGATATTAAAATAAAGAAAATTTTAATAATCCAATTATGAACTGATATATTTTCTCACCTTTTTCGAACTTTGTGTACAAGCAGGATTACGAAAAATCCAGTAATCACGAAGAGGATCAATAGGACCAAGCCAAATACTGGGAACGATGGGACTTAATAAATAAAATAAGCCGAAGGTTAATGATGAGAAGTGCCTTTAAGAATGCAAAAAGAACAAGTTCATGAACTTTAATGAAAGTTGAGCCCTGTAAGTACAGCACACATAATAGCCTTGGTCATTTGGGAATGATATCAATCAAAGATGGAAAAAGTTATGCATTCTTTAAAATTTCACATAGAGCTATTCGATAATCCCTACCCTTGTATCGGTTAGGAGGCAAAGTATGGAATGTCGGCCATTACCAAGTTTAGCGCTAGGCTCTTAACTGATACTGTATTATGAAAAACTTTTGAAGAACGGAGAAAATCTTTTTAGACAGGGGAAATAGAGAAATTGCTGGCAGTGGAACGAATTGTGATTGTGAGTTCATTTCAGGCTTCTTTCAACTAACTCACTTGTAACAAAGACATTCATTTTAGCCTGACAGTTTAGTGGAACAAAAAATATTAAATCTACATTCCTCGAGATATATTTACCCGTTTCGGCTAAACGTCCATGAAACCTTGATTTGGGCACATTCAAGTAGAGTGACTGCGTCCATGAGCCATTGCCAGCCATTGAGACCGGCATTATCTGAAACTCGTAAATTCCGGGTGTCAGATCGGCCAAATGGACGCCCCCCACAGCAGCAACCGGTCTGGTGACTTGCAGAGGATCCTTCTGTGAACTAATCGTCGGCAGCGGCTGATTGCCTGTCATCCCCAAAGTGGTGGTTAAATGTGGTAATGCCTCTTGCATAGCAAACCGATTGTAAGTTGAATCAAGATTAGTCGTTGAGCGTGACGAACGGGCTAGAGGGGATGGATACTGGGCTGATTGAAAAAGGGAAACGATTTCACTGTCATGACTCGAGGCAGCGTTTGAAACGGGAAACATGTTTTCGTGGCTGGAGCCGGGGCAAGAAATGCAAGCCCATTCAGTATACGACACACATCGGGTAGACCAAGCCGGCAGACGCGCCAAAATCAGGGCATCCGGAGGAAGGTTTCGCAGTAGAATCTCCTCGTGATAAAGGGCGCCAGTGGCCAAACCGTCAGATATATGATGGGACTCATTTTTGAGATCGATTTTTGACTCATCCTAAAGGTGAATTGTAGCAAAACATGGAAAAGCTCTTTTAGGATCTTAAGTAAGGATGGCTAGATCATAAATTAAAGAAATTTTAATACAATTTATCACAATATTTATATTCAGAATGAGCGGGTTTATAAATTACCAGTAGATCATGAATTAAAGCTGTATTCGCACAAGGTCACGCAAGATGATGAAAAAGTAGTAGTTAAATTTTCCCACAATTATACCAGGCCTCATATTCCCTAGGAATTTCACTGAGCCATGCTCCCTAAAATTCTATCTCTTCAATGATGGACTGCAGCTTCCGACTTGCCAGATACTCATCAGCACCCCCAACGGGAATCGCACTCGGGCGGCCCAGGGTACAGTTTCGATACCACACAACTACGCCACGGTACCGCACGTGCAAGTCCGTCACAGGGCAGAAGTGAATTTCAAGGCTACCCATGTCTTCTCATATGACATTTTTGTAGTGAAATTTTCGATGAAGCAAACATGTATTTGCTAATACAATAGACTAAATTCATGATCTAATGACAATCTAGAAACCTACTCATTCTAAATATAAGTCTCAAAACTCTACTTAAATACGAAAAATAAGTAATTTAGCCGATTGTAATGGCAAAATACAAATTATAAATGTTATATGGGAAAGTCCTGACTAGCCTTGAAATTCACATATGCGCTATAGCCCTCTAAATTGTAACAAACACTATCCGGGTTCGATTACCATTGGTAGTGCTGGTGTGGCCCTGATAAGTTCGTAACCTTATTCCGGCCTGGATGGAAATAACTTTCGAGAAGCAAGCGAAATTCAGTGATTTCATGAAACCTATTCACATCATCGTGAGAAAATTCAACTGTCAGTCCGATCTAAGATGAATACAACTCTTGCCAGAAGAAAAGGCTGTGTTGCATCAGCTCGCTACAATGAAATCACAGAGTACGACGAGATTTCTGGCTTTTGTGAGGCGCAGGTATAAAAGATGAAAAAACGGAAATATCATTTACTAAAATAATTTCAATAGTAAAGAGAAAAAGGAAAAACAAAAGAAAGAGAAACGTGAGTTAGTGCTGCAATAAAGGGGCCCGGAGCACATTCTATGAGAACTAAATTGAAAACTCTTTAAAGGACATAACAAAAACCTGTATCACATTGTCAAAACATCATAATTATATAAAAAGAATCAATGGCCGTACAGGATGCATCTAGTCTGTTGAAAAGAGAATAAACCTTCATTTCCGAAGCATCGCCGATTAAGTTTTATGGTTTGATTACAGCTACTCATGAAACTACGATAAGCCTTAACTCTCGTATACGTCTAAAAATAAGGGTCATTAGACTATTCCTATCCCCATAGCGCTAAATTGAGAAGAATCAGCCCAGTATTACTGTGATTTAAGTAGCTAAAAACCAACCCTTCGTAAGACATCGTGAACTAGTTGGTCACCGTAATGAAGTTGTATGTGGTCGACGCAATATGTCTATCAAGTGACTTATCTGAAGGGCATAAGCCTGTTCGCATTCCTTTATTTACAAAGTTTACGTGGATTGTGGAGTTCAATTTTCTGCAAGAACATTGATAGTTCGTGTCGAGGATTGTGTAATTGAGCTTAAATGTATGTTTTTTCAGCATTAAAGACGAGTTTAAGTGATAGACTTGTTCTAATGTCCTGCCCAGTTCCTCACAATCACTTGTCTCATTTAAATGGTAACACGATATAGGAACAAAATAAATGGTTTGACCATAAGGGACTCACAAAACCCACATTCTCAGTCTCCTTGCGATTCGTTAAAAAACAGTCGAGCGAGTGGATAAATAGCAGCCTTTAATGCAACGAATAGCAAGAACGCATAGACATACTATTTTGTTCAGTTACCTACCAATTTTATAGAAGGGCTTACATTCATTTTGGAGGCGTCAGGTGGTGCTAATCGTCCGAACTGATTAACGGCTGGATTGCGTTTGCCTTCAATGAAGTTGTCTCCAGAATCTACAGTGGAGTTATTTTTTTCTTCAAACAAGCCTAATGAGGTGTTTGTCACTAACCTCTTGATGAAATTGAAGCTTGAAGATATGGAAGGATAAAGAGTCACAGAAGAGGATAGGTCTAAGGAAGCTGTAAGATGAGAAGAAAGCTCGCCCAAGTATCGAAACCGGAGGACGTAGTAGAGAAGTAGACCATTCGGTTGTGAAGGTTGCCTCCAAATCAGCTGGACTCGGTCCGAATCAGCAATATATCTAGCCGAGAAGGATCTAGGGTCCAAATCATCAGCTCCGCCTAAGCAAAACAAGAGTGAAGTGAGGAAGCATAAATGTCATACCAGAATGGCGTTTCTTCAAGATACAATTAAGCAATAATTCGCATTCATTCTGCCTCTAGTACAGAAGGAAGTTAAACTGATTGAGTAGCTTTAAAAACTATGGGGAAATTTTGTATGAGAACAGGAGTCGCCTTAGATTGTGTAGGTTAATAGAAGGACTGATAGTTGAAATTTCCCACAATGGAGCGAAAGTTCTCATAATCCACATGAATTTCACATAAGAGCTGTGTTAACCATATGTTACATACGGTGTTAAGGCCTGATAGCTGAACTAAATTTCACTTAATAGAAGGTATGGAGGCCAACTAGCTCTAGTCTCCGCAGCATCTATCCTGTTTTAGCCATAGCGCCGAGTCTATGACTTACTATGCAATATTCTCTTGTGTGCCAATCCACAAATGTCGTGGTTCTACATTGAATCTAATCAAGACAAGTAGAAGCTTAACATTTGTGGGTTGGCACACAAGAGACTAGGGCATAGGAAGTCATAGACTTGGCACTATGGGTAGAAGCGCGATAGATGCGGCGGAGACTAGAGCTAGTTGGTAAACAGTAGAAGTGTTTTATCATAGACGTGGTCCATGAAGCAAAGGCTTGACCATATAAATTACTCGGGCTCTTTAGTCTCATGCTAGTTTCCCAATCAGCTTGAGAATAGTGATTTTAAAAAGCCTACTCAGAGAGGCGGGAGTAGGCGTGCTATTAAAGGCTTGAGACAGAGTGGGAAATAACACTTCGAGTAATACAGAAAGGGTGGTAGGGGTCGAGTGAAATACTTGAACC